GAATGACATGCATTTCTGGACCGTGAATAATCTCCAGATTTCATGCAACGTACAAGAAATCTGAGCTGCTAAGGGCTTTTTATTGGATCCACTCCACCATACCTATGGAAGTACTTTATATCCACTTGGAGACCTGTGCTTTATATGTAAAATTAATATTCCTTAATAATTTTCAAATGCTCTGTTCATGATTGAATAATGGGTTCCGCTAAAATAATATGTAGGTCTAATAAAATGATTAACAGTAGCAGAGCTTGTGATTAGCAACAGTACAGACTATGACGTGTGTTATAAAGCACGATGCAAAGATTCAATTATTTCCTCTTGTAAACAAATGTGCCATAACCTAAAAAATGACATTAATGTTGGTGACCGCTGAGGTTTGCTGTAATGGGGGCATAATATGTACCACGACGGACAAAGCCAAAGAACAACTTAGTAACTTCGGGGAAACGTGACTTCTGCGGTTCCCTGGTGCCAGAAACTCCAAACTAACACTAAGCGTTGAGGGTTCCTTTGAAAGGCACCTTCTCATAGTGGGATGGGCACCCCCACACATACGCGTAGAATGGGACACTATGTATGGTGAAACAATGTTCTCACATGTGTGGGAAACTCCGTCTCACGTGTCCCCACTTATAGGGGCCCTTAAATGGCACTGCATCATACTACACTGCATGAAATGTCATCATGTAGGGGTGGCACTTCATAATGGCACCCTTTTTCACTGGAAGGGTACCCATAGGGGCCACTTAGACCATTGTGAGGGCACCTTATAACGCACTGCGTCACATTCTCTCCATCAGCAGGGTACTCATTAAGACACTCTATCACATTTTCTTGGCCACATCATCATACTATCTCACATGAAGGGACACTAGACAGCCTATAGTGGCATATTTGCCTTTAGTGGTGTGTTGTCACCATGAGAGCACCTGGGCAGGTTCAGTTGCCCCCCTCCTTCTAGATTAAAGCCAGAAGTGTTGTTTAGACTGGAATAGCGATAAACCACGGCACTCTCTTCCGCTTGATTCATGATCAGTGTGTAAGTGGCCTGTTGACTAGGTACCAGACACCTTCTGGGGTTGTTCTTATAGGCCAGGTTCATGTATGACATGACACCACCTCGAAAAACTTCAGATCAAGACGTATGATTATGAGTTAAGCACCCACAACTGTTTTCCCATCTGACATACTCATTACATGTTTGACATTCACATAAATCACCTCAAATGCCACATGCACACTCATTTGTCAAACTATATAGTCATGTCATTATATGAAAAGTACACAGGGTGATCTGCGACTGCATACCCGTAAATTATCTGGTTAAGAATCACATAAACACTCAAAAAAGAAATTGAACTACTCAACCATCTGACTTGAGCAAAGAAAACTGAGAAGTATACCAATTTGTCTTTGATCCTTAATCATTAAATTAATGTAGGTATTCATCAAAATATACAAAAATCTTTAATTAATAATACCTAGTTGTGTCACCATTAATTTGAAGGCTGGCGTATCCTTTTTCATAGAAATGTTTACTGCATTGTACTTATGACATATTGTGTTTTAAACAGTTATTCTCTAGTGTATGTATGACTACATCACCGACTTCACACGCACTTCGAAGTGGGGAATTAAAACGCTCCTCGCCGGTATTGTCAACGTCATCTATATCAAATACTGCCATCTCCTGGTGAAGGCTTTTATTTTTAAAATAGCCGTATTCCCGTATACTGTTGATCTAATTTGTTTTTACCCGTTTGCAAAAAAGAAAGCAAGAAAGAAACAGCTGGTAATAACTCACAGCTAACCAGCTGGTAAATTGAACGGTGTGTTTACTGATGCTTCTATGAAATGTGCAGTGCATCAGAAAAGTAGATATTACTTTAGAGTACAGCCATATTAGCAGCGTGCGCGTCTATGCGTCACCGCAACCCCATTTCCGCTTTGAGGGCGACTTGTCAAAGCTCGGGGGCCATCTTGTTTCCCGTTGCAGTTTAAATAAAATAAATAATAGGCAGTGCTGGACCTCACTACGAAATCGTAGCGAAAACGGAATCGGTGAGTATGCCCACGCTTTCCTTTTGTCCGTCCCCGTTCATGTGCATGTATTGACGCAAGTCTCATTATATCGCCGCGTTTCGATCAGTTAAATATTTCTGTCCAATTGTCAATTGTTTTGGAAGATGAACGTAGGCGCCATTTCCCTCGCCGCTCTCTGAAGCGCTTATTGGTGGCCAGCGTTGGGGAGTAGAGGAAGTGAAGAAACTGTAGCACTGTGTCCGCCATGTTGGCTCTTTTTAAATGTAGGTTGTATTAGCTGTAGGAGCACTGATAGAGCCCGAATGGCGTTAGTTTCAGAACGACCTGAACTCTAGAAACCTTGATTGGTGGAATCTGGTCCGAGGTTTGATTGGTCTGAAGGACAGATCCAAACTTAATCTTTATTGGTTAGAGCGCCTTTCCACAGCTTTTGCAAATGTTTTAGGGAAACTTGCTTTTGATTATCACACTGTCTGTTGTTTCGGAGGATATATCTAATAATGCGGGGTGGCGGCACAAATAGCTTGCTGCAAGTGCCTAGTGCCTTTCCCCGTTGAACCCTATCTTGAGCAGGGTAGCTTAGCAGACGCCGCGTAAATAAACTTGTTCATTTTAATACATGAGATAACTTGGCTATTTTAAAACATAAAAAGCAGTACAAGGGGTAGGTGCCTTTAATAGCGATATCTGCTCTCGCTGTAAGCCTGTGTACTGCTTCTTTCACTCGCCAAACCTGGCTCCTTTCGGCATATCTTTTGTTTCCCCTGCTTTGCCGAAGCCCGGTGTAACCTGGTGCTACGCTTCACTAAATGCCGTGAATATTCGTGCAGAATAACGCTGGCAGGCTTACGGCTACGGCTGTGTGACCCCACTGCACTTCGCCAGCTGTTACGCCGAGAAACGACTGGCGACTGACTGAGGACATGTGCGGGTGTGAAACTTGAAGGTGGCCTTTTCCCACATCATTCCGTCCATTGTCGATATTAACTCAGTGTTCGGCGCAGCAGAGTTCATAGGTTTTAATGAAACGCCAATGGATATAATTTGATGGATGTGGTTGAAGTAACAGAGTTACCCTCGTTTTCCACGATGGAGCCACAAAGGGGAATTCGCCGGGGGACGGTGGGGGCTTTTATTTCTGTTATTACGCTGTTATCAGGGGAAAGGTGTCATATATATGTCATAGGAGCTTGCAGGGGAATGTCTGCTTCTTAAGGTGTGTATGTGTGTGTGCACGTGGCATGCAGCGATTATAATAATGCACGAAGCGCGCGCTCCGGCGCGCGGCTATAATGCTGCACATTATAACGCTGTCCGAGGGCATTATTAACCTATATATCAACGTAAAGGTTCCTGCATCCTCATACAGCCGTCAGAAGTTTTTCGCACTAACACACACACACCTTGTAATTTTTCCAGGCAGTCTGTGCAGAAGCTGTGAAACTGCCATAATAAAATGTGGTCCAGAGCTGTAGGACTTTTCTCTGAAATGACTTGTGTGACAAACTAGCAGCTGAATAGAGACCACAATGTACGGAGTGATCTCTGAATGAGTAATGTATTAACTAATTATTTGCTGCCCTGCTACCTAATAATATTCCAAGCTAGTCTCTGAAGTTTCCTTTTGTCAGATGTGTTTATGCCATGCATGATCTGTAAATTCAGTTTTATTCTCCACCCTTATGCTGTTCTTGACAAGCTGCATTCATTCTCCAGTGTGCTCTATTCCCACATTAAGTTGCACCCTGTTTTGTAGACTTGTGAACTGATCTTTCATGCTCTATAACTGCTGCAGTTTGCCGAGCTCAGTTAAAATGGCATCAAGAATGAGATTGATCATTAAGGGGTTTGTATACACATGTCTCTTTGGTCATTTTGGTTGTAATTCTTTTTGTTTTAGACTTTCCATTTCTGGTCAGCAGTGACACTTGTTTGATGTGTGTTTGATGTGAGCAGGGAGGTGAGGAACTGTCCACGTGAGCATGGATTTGTGTGCTCTGTCAGTGCTACCCGTCTGTCGACTTGTGCTGTATAATTTCACCTGAGAGGGAAAGTGTGCCCGTTTGTGCGGGGCGGGCGGCGTGCACATCTGTCTCTGTGCATCTGTTTCATCCTGTTCCCTGTTGAGCGGGCACGCCTTCTGCGGGAAGGTGAACCCGTCTATGCTGCCCTTGGCATCCGTCTTGGAGCTCTCCGAGAGGCGGAGTCCCAAAAGACGAATGGCCTCGCCGCCCCCCCCCCCCCCCCCCCCCCCTCCGCCATTGTGGACTCTCTGTCCGCTGTCGTCCTGTAATAATTAACCGGCCCGCTACCTGCATAACTGCACACTTCCAAAATAGAAAGGGATCATTTTGTTCTTTGCCTCTCTCTGGCTCCACCTCAGCGTCTCTGCCCTCATCTCGTTCATCTATCTCCTCCCTCTGTCCGTCTCTCTGTCCCCTCCCTCTATCCCTTCCTACTTCTGCTTGTGTGTGTGTTGTTTTTTTTTTTAAGCAGGTTGCTGCATTTCTCCTTATTGGTCTGCCTCGGGGGGGGGGACAGGGTTTGAAGCCCACAGCCATTCTGCTTTTCTCTTTTATATTATCTGTTACTGGTTTTCCTCTTGTATAGTTGGGCATTTTGCAGAAGCACCTCACGACATTGCCTTTGTGTGGCACCTAATCTGACGTGCTGATCTTCGTCTATGGTCATCCATGGACCTTTTCTCTCCCCTACACAGACTGGCTTTGTCTCCTGTACTTTAGCAGTGCGTCCTTAGTTCCCCGCCGATGGCCTCCCTGGCACGGTGCTGCCGTGACACCTCTCTGTTCCCAGTCACGCTCAGCCTGTGGAATGTGTCCTCAATTCCTTGATCTCTTCAGGTGCTGTACAGACTTGGTGTAACATGACATGCTCCCCTCAGGTTAAGTTTTAAGTGGATAATATAATGATTTTAATTGCTGGAAATTAATTTTCAGAAGACTGTTAAAGCATGCCAACTGCATAAAGGTAGCAGAATATAAGCAAGAAGACATGAGAATGACAAAACTTTGGATACTGCTCTCGCGGTCATGGTGACTACTCCTCCCCCCCTTTCTGAATTAGGCTGTCGTTGTTTTAGAGGCTGCAATCTTTGGCTTATGTTTTCCCTTGATATTCAGTGTTTCACCATAAAGCAGAACACAAGAGAGAGAGTCATTATTACATTAATCTAGTGGTTTCTGCATTTCACCAACAGCAACAGTTTTCTTTAACTGTTATACATTTATGGTATTAATGTAGTAATATGTCTATATGTCTGTAGACGCATAGTGTGTGTGTTTACCATTTTGCTACCCCTTTGGTATGACATAAAGGTCATCAGACCTAGAGATGTCCGGTACATTCAGACAGTTATAAAATTATGTTGTCACTGGGGATAACATTTGCCAAATACACCATCTGTCACTAATCGCCATAACGACATTCAGTGAACATCTCTAACTAGCTTTATGACTGACAGGCTGTAAAAAAAAAATATGCCAGGTACAAATGTGGTTATAGTTTATTGCGGGTAAATATCTGATCTGATTCCTTTAAGGAATAAAAAAAAAAAAATGAAGGGCATGATGAATTGACACAAACAAGCTGTTGTTCCTAATTGCAGTTGCAGGATTGTATTAATTTTGGCGTGTTGCTTTTGGTAAATGGTCAGGACTGTGGTCGTGTTGGTTTCTTGGAGTTTCAGCTCGTGGCTCTTCTCAGACACTATTTTTTTTTGCCATCTGCGCGGAAGGTGACCGTACCTGAAGGTGAGAAGTCGCTGAGCTCCTGTAAATAATCCCACTGCTGAGATCCGTCATAATACTGGTACAGAGACTGTTTTTTTAGGATTGTTTTTTGTTGTCATAGTCCTCTAAATGCTCCAGCTGAAATGAATGAAAATGTGGCGGCATCTGTGCTACCTGCGAAAATGTTTTGACCAATCTGGTGATGCAAGTGCGCGTGTGTTTTGAGGAAGATGGGGTGTGTGCGCACGTCTGTGTGTGTGCATGTGTGCGCGGAGCAATCTGATCCAGTGATCTGCTCGTCTTTGCTCTTTAAATCATGTGGCCACAAGATGCTGCCTCTAGCTGAGGCTTCTACCAGCCAGTCATAGGCAACGAGGTCATCTGCATCACAGCTGCGTCGTCCAATCAGCTGTGGAGAGGGGCGGGCCTTAGAGACATTTAGCTTGACATTGTAAATAAGCAGGGAACAGTTGTCAGAGAGCGTCCAGTTGTTTCCTATCTCTCCGTCTCACTATAAAGAATGACAAAGGAGCAGCAGGAGAGAGACGGCGGAGGCAGGCGCTTGCAGGCTCTGCTTCACCTTGCTGAGGTGCTTTATCATTTTTTATATATATATATTTTTAAACTTTTGTCTTTTTTTCTGCTCTCCTTTCTCTGTTTTCCTCTCTTCTCTGACTGACCCCTATCCTGCAGCTCAAGGTAACTTAAAACAGGAAGTTGGCTGCCGCTGAAGGCGAGGGGAGGGGGTTGGTGGGTGGAGAAAGGGGAGGAGAGGGAGGAGACAGTGTTGAGTGATGGGAGGCACAGCCTGTTATAGGGCAGTGCCCTGCACCCTGATTGGTGGTGCAGCTGCTTGAGGGGTGGGACTTAAGCATCATGTAGCAGGCTGGATTGATAGCTTGTGAATGTTAAAGGGAAAGACTGTGGATTCTTTTTTGTGTGTGTCTGGGACTCTTCTGAAGCCCGAGCTGCTGCCGCTTCACCTTTTCTCTGCCATTTTTCATCTGTCCTCTCCCCTCCCCCCCCCCCAACCCATGGAGAGAGGCAGCTTGGGGGGGGTCAGCCGAAAGCCAAGCGGCAGGGGTTGCTCGGACTATGTGGCTCGGGCTGACCGGTCCCAAGGAGGGAAGTCGGGCAGAGGAGAAACAGGAGAGGGGTGTGGGGTTTGGTGCTCACTATGGCTGCAAGCTTCCAAGGCAGCGCACTGTCTTTTGTCTGCTTCTGGGATCAGGCTGTGGAGGGGGGGGGAGTGGAGTAAGGTGGAGGGACACTCTCCCTGTTGCCCCTGCGGTGAAGGAGACCTCCGGTGCATGCTGTGAAGGACACACGGTGAGTCTGACTGCAGTTGGTTCCTTGGGGTGGGGGTGGGGGGGGTATTGAGGTAGGATCGTCCGTGTTAGAATTTTCAGCCCTGTCGTCCTTTCTGCTTTTGCCCCCCCCCCCCTGTAATGAGTGTGAATGGGATGAGTAGGTCTCTTTTTCTGGGACAGCTTGGCCACTCACACCCTCTGCTTTTCTCCTGGGGGGTAATCTGAGCTCAGCCCTGAGCCTCTCAGCCGTCCTGCACAGTGGCGGCTCCTCTGATGATGGCACATGCCCTTGGTCTGTTCCCACCCCCGCGGTGTTTTTTTTTTTTTTTTTTTTTTTTTTAAGGAAGGTGACACACTGTTTGTTTTGTCAATATTTGCGATGGGGAAACGAAGTGAGAGGTTAGGGAGCAGCCGGGTCCTGCTGCCGAAATGCCAGTGTGGGCACATGAGGCGACCCGTGCCAGGATGGGTGCCCTGAAGAGACTCACCTGACGCCCGTGCCCACTGGCAGACCGCTGCCATGTGCTTCTTTATGACAGGTGTGTACACGTGCACCTGACGCCCGGGTCCCCCCACCCTGCCTGTGCACGCCGGAGAAGGCAGTGGGTCCCACTGCGCCAAAGCTCGGCCATGCGGCCCGGAACAGTAGCTGTGTCAGGGGACATAACCAGTGACAGCCCCAGGTCGGCACACGGGCGGCAAATGGCCCGTTTTCGAGGCATCCCTGGGTAAGGGGGGGGGGGAGGGGGTTGCACTTAGGCCGCCTCCTACTCTGTCTCCAAACTAATTGAAAGTTTCCATCTGTGCCATTAACAATATGGCGTGGCGACAAGAGACTGTCTTGCTAAATATAGCACTGTGCTACAGTCCTTGCTGGCAAATCCCTGTGCGCATCGCTGTTTGCATAAGATTTGAATATAATTTGGACCACATACTGTACAGTGTGTTAAGGGCCACAAAAGCGAAATGAACACAGTTCTGTATTGCGCCTCCCCCTGTCAGCAGCTCTGGTTTTCTCTCGCTCTCTTTGTGCAGCATGTTAAGCTGATGGCTGCTTTGTTTTGGTTTCTATCCGTCTCTCTGGCTCCCTCCGGCCTGTTTCGGCTGTAAAATTTCCCCTCCCTCTGTGACGGTGATGTCAGTGGCTGTGCATGGGACAGGATGAAGGTCGTAGGAGGGGGAGGATGACCCCATGATGGGGGGGGGGGG